TTTTGAGACGGAGTCTTACTCTGTTGCCCTGGCTGGAGTGCAGTGGCATCATCTCAGCTCACTGCAACCTTCGCCTCCCGGGTTCAAGCGATTCTCCCGCCACAGTCTCCTAAGTAGCTGGGATTACAGGCACCCGCCACCATTCCTGGCTAATTTTTTGTATTTTTAGTAAAGACTGGATTTCACCATATTGGCCAGGCTGGTCTCAAACTCCTGACCTCAGGTGATCCACCCACCTTGGCCTCCCAACGTGCTGGGACAGTATTTAATTTTTTGTGCAGCTTGCCCTGCTGGGATAAATGATTGCTTTTTAAAAAATAGATTGCATAGTTTTCTATGTACATATCCTTAATTTATTTGCAGATATTCTGTCATATCTACCATATACCTATCATGCATTTTTCTTTTTCCCATTGGATCCTCTGCATTGCTATCCAGTCTGGATTCATTCTCCAGGCCTTTTGCAGACTTACTCTATGGGGAATTTCCCCATTTAAAAAAAGAAATTTCCTCGTTTACTTCACGGGGGTGTGTCCTCCAGGAAATTCCTGAGAAAGGATGCATGATAAGTCCTGTTATGTCTAAAACCTTTTTCTACCCACTTTTTATTTTTTATTTTTTTTTAGAGACAGAGTCTCGCTCTGTCTCCCAGGCTGGAGTGCAGTGGCGCAATCTCAGCTCACTGCAACCTCTGCCTCCCTGGTTCTAGCAGTTCTCCTGCCTCAGCCTCCTGAGTAGCTGGGACTACAGGTGCACAGTGCCACGCCTGGCTAATTTTTTTGTATTTTAGTAGAGACGGGATTTCACTGTGTTGCCCAGGCTGGTCTCAAACTCCTGAGCTCAGGCAATCTACCCGCCACGGCCTCCCAAAATGCTAGGATTACAGGCTTGAGCCACCACGCCCAGCCTCTACCCGCTCTTAACACTGTAATTAGCTTATTGTGTTCTAGCTTCATGGGTTGCTGTTTTAAAATTCAATCCTATTATTTCTCCTAATCTTTTAAATGTAAATTGTTTTAATTTTGGAAGCTATTGGAGTCTCTTCTTTTTCCATTTTGTTCTGATTTCATAATGATGTGCTTTGGTATAGATCTGTTTTTCTTTTTTGATAAAGACAGGGTCTTTGTCACCCAGGTGACAAAGGAGTGCAGTCACATGATCATAGCTCACTGTAACCACATAATCCTGGGCTGGAGCTGTCCACCCACCTTCGCCTCCCAAAGTGCTGCAATTACAGGAATGATTATTCTTTACTTATTATGCTAGGCATTATGTGGGCCCTTTCCAGCTAGAGACCTCTATCCTTGGGGGCATTTTGAAACTCTTGCATTATTAAATATTTCTTTGAAAAATTTTTTTGTTTGTCTCTTTTAGGAATGCCTATCAATTGATTATTAGTCTTCCTGGGTTCCTCCTTTGTTCCTTTATCTTATCTGTTTCTTATTTTTATCATTTTGTTTTGTTTTGTTTTCCTTTGCAGGAGGTTTTCTCAACTTTCTCTTCTAAATTCTAAGTCCTTTTTTTTTTTTTTTTTTTTTTTTGACATAATTCAACCATTGGATGAGAGAATAAAGC